CCTCCTCCTCCTCCACCATCACCTTCACCTCTTCTTCCTCCTTCTCCACCACCACCACCTCCTCTCCACCTCTTCTCCATCTCTTCCTCCACCATCACCAACACCTCCCATCCCCACTAAGCTTTCATAACATAACGAGGGAGATAAAAAGCTTAGGTTTTAATTTTTGGTTCGGTAGAGGAATTACAAGCCTGTCTGTATGTCTTGTGTTCCTTGTTATGTCTACCATCTGTGTGTGTGTATGTGTGTGTGTGTGTGTGTGTGTGTGTGTGTGTGTGTGTGTGTGTGTGTGTGTGTGTGCGTGTGTGTGTGTGTGCGTGTGTTGGGGTTTCAATACAACACACGTGATAGGAAAGATGTGGTATGATTAAAGACGATGCATACATACATACAGACGTAAACATACACACATACAGTCACACAACCCTACTCCCCAAACACACACCTTCCCTCCTCCCCCTCACACATACAACATCTTCCCCTCCCCTCCCACCCCACCCCCTCCCATATAGGGCGACTTTAGGTATCACACGACACCAGACACAACAGGTGAGTTTGCTGGATGTGATTTAGGCACAAAACTGCTCCCCGTTGGCCATATTAGGTCACCCAACCCCAGCTGGTCTCTAACTCAAGGCCATTGTTTCCTGCCTCCTCTGACACCGCCCTAAACCACCTGTTGATCATCACCTGGCCACCTACAACACCTGGTCACCTACGTCATACTCGTTCACTTATACCTGTTCACCTACACTATATGCTGGCCACCTGTTCATGCTACATTACCTGGTCGTTGTTATATCACCTGGCCATTGATATATCACCTGGCCATTACTATACCACCTGGCCATTACTATACCAACCTACCCATCTCACACACACACACACACACACACACACACCTGTTAGCCAATTAGCCCCCGGCAGGTGACTCACTCTGATGGTCAAGGTTTGGGATTAATATAATAAATAGTTCTGGTTCTTAAGAGTCATAAACTGGCCATTGAAGAGCTGTAATTTGAGAGAGAGAGAGAGAGAGAGAGAGACACCTTCCTCCTGGTAACACGAAAATCCTCTCCTACTTATCACCAAACTATCACCTCCCATCCTGCCCTGCCCCCCCACCCCCCACACACCTGGTCCTCCCCACACACCTGGTCACCCCACTGATCACTCCCCACACACCTAGTCCTCCCCCACACCGGGTTACTCCCCACAAACCTGGTTACTCCCCACCTGGTCCTCCCCACACACCTGATTTACTTCCCACACACCTGGTTACTCCCCTACACACCTGGTTACTCCCCCACACAATTGGTTACTCCCCCACACACCTAGTAACTCCCCCACACACCTGGTCCTCCCACACCTGGTTGCCCCCACACACCTGGTTACTCCCTACACACCTAGTAACTCCCCCACACACCCTGTCACTCTCCCCACACACACCTGGTTACTTCCCCACACACACCTGGTTACTCCCCCTACACACCTAGTAACTCCCCCACACACCTGATTTACTCCCTCACAAACCTGGTTACTCCCCCACACACCTGGTCACTCCCCACACACCTGGTTACTTCCCACACCTGGTTACTCCCCCTACACACGTGATTTACTCCCCCACAATTGAATTCTCCCCCACACACCTGTGCTCCCCCACACACCTGGTCACTCCCCCACACACCTGGTGCCCCCCCACACACCTAGTTACTCCCCTACACACCTGGTAACTCCCCACACACCTGGTTACTCCCCACACACCTGGTCCTCCCCCACACACCTGGTTACTTCCCCACACACCTGGTTACTCCCCCACACACCTGGTTACTCCCCCACACAATTGGTTACTCCCTCACACACCTGGCTAATGAATAAACAAATAAAAAATAAAAAAATAAATAAATACAATAAATAAACAAATAAATACATAAATAAATATATAAACAAATAAATAAATACAATAACAAATAATTATAATAAACAAATGAACAACTAAACAGGAAACAACATAAAAAATAAACAAAATCAATCAATAAATACCACAGGTGATAAGAGCGCCACCAAACAAAAAAAAGTTGTTTACAGCAACAGAAAACGGGATGGGGGAGGAGGGAGCATCATAATAAAACTGTTGAGGCAAACATTTCCGACACTGAGAGAGCATAAAATTGAGGACTGTGTGTGTGTGTGTGTGTGTGTGTGTGTGTGTGTGTGTGCGTGTGTGTGTGGAGGGGTGGAGACCAGCACACACACACACACACACACAAGGGCGGGTCTCCATAAGTGGTGA